AATCAGATAATCGGATTAACCAAATAACATAACATTACATGAAAACAAACACAAACTATCATTTTATATAAGCAATAATAATAAGGGTGTGCCTACGGTGACATGCATGTCACGGTGACTTGCACTTTCCGGTCGACCTCAGTTAGGATTAGGTCGACCTCATTTAGAATTCGGTCGACCTCTTATAGGATCTGGTCGACCTCATTTAGGATTCGGTCGACCTCATATAGGATCAGGTCGATCTAATCTGTTGTTTCAGTGTAAAAACAGTTCATGGTGCCTACTTTGAATATTCATATCATACAATTGGCTAGATGGAAATTGAAGACTAATGACTTGTTTTGAAGCTGGAGTGTCCCTCTACATATTGAAGTGATTGAGAGCTCGATAGGAAGTCCAGAAGACCATTTTTGAACCTCATCAAAAGGCTATGTCAGAACTGGGAAACTGCATGGAAATGACCAAGTCTGGAAACGTGTTTGTGAAGCCTATTTTGGAGCTCAATTCGAGAAGCATGAATGTGAGTCGAGTCCAGGAGCCTCTACCACATTAAGATATGAATCTCCAAAGTAGGCACCATGAAACTGTTTTTACACTAAAACAACAGATTAGGTCGACCTAATCCTATACGAGGTCGACCGAAAAGTGCATGTCACCGTGACATGCATGTCACCGTAGCAAAATCCTAATAATAAGACTAACCATCCATAATTATCATCATCATTCGAGTTAATACATCATTCATCATCTTTGCACCTAATATAGGTTGCTTACAACAAACCCCTAAGCATAAATACATACCAATACCCCTCATCAGGAAGTTAAAGCTCTCCTACAAAACACTTAAATTATACATAGTTTGAGGTGGTTGTCATGGTATTGTACGTAATCCTAAAGTCTAGAAGTTGTCCAAAATGTTTTAGCTTAGTAAATATAGGCAATACCCATTTAATTTTTGATCCATAATGTTTTGGTTTGTTGTGCACTTGGAAATAAAATAGGGAATCACGAAAGTTTGGTTTGGTTGGTTGCATGTAAGTAAAAATAATTTTGTATATTAGGTGTATCATTAATTGGTTAATTGGTTTCATTGGTTAGCAGTGTTGAAACCAAACCAAACCACCTAAACCAAATTAGCTAAATTATTTAACCAAACCAATTATCCAAATTAACCGAATGCTACCGGTTAATATGGTTACTACGGTAACCAATCCGTTTGAACACCCCTGCTAACGATGGAGGAACCACTGGTGGTTGAAGAATATTATTGTAATCGTGGCGGAGGTAGTAATATTATAAACCAACTTGTCTCTATAATTTGAGTTTTTTTTGCGGAGGTAGTAATATTATAAACTAACTTGTCCCTATAATTTGAGTTTTTTATGGGTTAATACTTTATTTTCGCCAGAACTATGACCGTATAATCAATTTTGGCCCGTGGTTTCAGAAATTAACTTTCTGGCCTCGGCTATGCAGCATATACACTCAATTGGCAGGACTGGTTTGACCGTCAATTTGGACGGTCAACACTCCATGTCATTGCCTCGTCATCCTAAAAATTATTAAAAAAAGTCAAATTCAATTTATTTTCCTAATTTCTATTATTTATCATTTCCAAATTAACCAAAAAATTATATTTTTTTTGTTGGAATATCTGAAAATTATAAATTTTATAAATTAACCAAAAATTATCAAATTAAATTTTATAAACTTAAAAAATATGTTATAAATTATATGTTTTATTTTTTGGGTAATTTTAAAAATATAAAATAATTTGATGATTTTTTGTTAATTTATAAAATTTATCATTTCAAATTACCCAAAAAGTAAAAAAATTATTTTATGTTTTTTATAATTTATTTTTGGTTAATTTGATAATAAATAATAAAAATTAGAAAAATAATTTGAATTGAATTTTTTAATGATTTTTAGGCTGACGAGGCAATGACATGGCGTGTTGACTAACGGTCAATGGTGTTGACCATCCAAATTGACGGTCAAACTATGTGTCGGGCCAATTGATTCTATGTTACATAATTGAGGTCAGGATGTTAATTCTGGAAACCACGAGCCAAAATTGATTATATGGTCATAGTTGAGGCCAAAATAAAGTATTACCCTTTTTTCCGAAGATATTCCGGTAGGAATAGTAAGATTCGAGAATATACAAGACCAAACGGTTAGGAGAAAGAAAAAAGAGCAAAACGATGATCAACAAGATGCTTAATCATCGATAAAAGGGTATAATTTGAGTTCTTGAAAGAAGTTTATGTATGATATTCAATAAAAAAATTACATGTCAGTTCAAATGAACAACTAACTCAAGAGTTTGAAGTGTGCATAGACCCAACATACAATGTGTTTTAATATTTGGTATCATGAGAACTTGAACACGTGACCTCAAAGACAAATAAGCTCTGATATTTTGTTTAGGAAGTATATAACAGTCTGGTCCGGACTAACATTAGGACAACTAGATGCAATAGTAAAAGACATCTTAGGAACAAAACAACAGTGCATTCGTGACTTTGGTCAGGTTCAAATATTAACTCTGTTCATTTTTACTTCGGTATTTATAAAATTTATAGGACTAAAGATCATACCATATTATATTCAATTTGGTGAGTAACGTCCAAGCATCAATTTGGTTTGATAGACTAATCCGTTGCACACATCTAATCATGTATAAACCAATTGGTACTAATAACTCGAATTGTTGGAAGATGCTTAATCAAACTTAACCACTTCCTTTATAAGAAAGACATTTGAGGGTTGTTGGCCGTCTGGAAGGCGGTAGCTACAAAGAAACCGAATGTTACGTCAATGAAAATCGCCTTGTGCCAAGTCATGGGTCTGAAGAAAGGATTTGAGATCACGGACCTCGGCAACCAGCTGTTTGCTTTCCAGTTATAAACCACCACGTGATTTTCAAAACGCCCAACTTATTCCCTAAACCAAAGAAGAAGATAGCTGGTCGGACCGAAACAAGAACTTAAACTGAACGTTAGAGGCTTAGAGCTGAAATCAAATGTTCGTAGTGAAGTAAGAAAACTGAAAAGTTGTTTTTCTTTTGCTTCTCTTGTGGGAAGGTTGAAATCAAAATATTCGTAGTGAAGTTTAAAAAATTGAAAAGTTACTTTTATTTTGCTTCTATTGTGGAAAGGTTGATCATCCAAAACTAAAACAAGATATTTTGCTTGATCTCACCTGATTGGTTTGACAAATTTATCATTTGGGAAAGATAAACTAAGATGAGAGATACGGGACATGTTGAAATAGTAGATTCTCGTACTTTTTGAAATACCTTCTTATTGTGCCTTCCCTCCCGTCTTTGTTATTGTCGTTGTCGAGTTTCTTTCCCTTTCATCAGTCACTAGTTGTCGCTGCTGGAAGAGGAAGTAGAAGAATGAATCCAAAACGCTAGAGTCATCATATATTTGGAGACTTACGCACCTCTTTTAATCTTATCATTGAACATTTTTTCATGTATATTGTTGAGTTTTTGGTTGTATGAATTGAAACTCCACGAGCAAAACTGAAACTGCACCAGAGTCAAATTTTATAAGTCATGGACAAAAAGTGAAAATGCAACAAAGTTTTTTAATCACTTTCTTCACCGTCCGCAATCGGATAATGTTCTTCGAGAATGATTTACAATGTTTGTTCTCGGTGCAACATGTTCCAATTCTGAATTGATATCATATCACAAAGCTGAGATCACTTTGGGCTGAAAAGGGGCATTGATATGAGCCCATCAATATCGCCAACTCGAAGAGTCGCACGCAATGTCTCCCAGTATCGATTAGTATCATCACATAACTGAATGATCTTTCTTACTCCAGCCAGTTCACATAGAACCATAGCCATTGCAATGCAAATAATCAAATCTTTCTAACATACCTCTTTCTAAAGTGGTAGACACGCTAAGATAGCATCTTGCTAGTTTATGTTCAATGAATTCTCGAGGAGTCTTGGCAATGCAGCCATGCAAAATAATGAGGGGGAAAGAACGGGATTTACCATCATCCCGTTGATGCGGTACAACATCCGTGGGCCTTGGTGCCGAGTTGGGCTTAGTCGTTAGGGTATTATTATTAGTTAATTGTCATGTTATTGTGATTATTTAGGGATATTCGTATTATTTTATTGTATCTTGTTGAGTAAGTTATTAGTTACCTTGTTAGAGTGGATAGGGTTAGCTATTAGGTTTTCTTACGTTTTCCTATAAATATGTACGTTGTTTTTTGGGTTTCGTTAAGCAATGAATAAGAGTAAAGTAAATTAGAGTAATTTAGCTATCTTTATCGCGTTTCATTAGTTTCATAGAAGAGTTCGAGTTCCACGATACGTGAGATTCCGCTATCACGCATCACCCGTCCGTGCCATATTAACAACTCACTTCTAGTTCAAACCTTCTTAGGGGTCGTTTGCTTGTGGGATTTGGGTGATGGATTTGGAACCCAAATCCCAAGCATCATGGAGTTGACACAAATCCTTTGTTTGTTGAGGGACACAAATCCGTGGGGTCCACGGATTTGGACCCCTTTTTAGATCCAAATCCGTGGATCCCACGGACTTGTAAATCCCACATTTCATTTGGGATCTAACAATAGAAGGAAAAAATGTGAGACAAATCCATCACAAATCCATGATAAAAAATCAACTAAACAAACAATGTACTCTTCCAAATCCATGATTCAACAAATCCATCATAAATCCAAAGATTTTTAAAACTCAAAACCTTCATTTTCAAATCCAACAAGCAAACGAGCCCTGAGAAACAAAGGCCATTTCTCCAGAAGATATATTCACTGCATTCATCGGCCATCCCTAGACCATTAACAAAAATGTCTGGACCTCTCTCTATCATTTTCAAATGAGTTCTCTGTATCTCTCTTTCCACCCAAAGAGAAATGAGAAGGCGTTTCTCTCCTCCTTCGTCAAGCGACAGTTCCACCCGTTGTCATATTCTCTTCTCTTCATCGTCTTCTATAGATTTTTCAAAAAAGTCTTCTATATGTCCTGACAAATCTATGATATAATTCACGGGAAAGGGGCCCCTCTTCCTTCAACAATTGCGCAAGTTCCTCCATTCCGTCGACATCTCCCTGTTTCTCCAAGTACTCGAAACAGGAATCCAAGATTGCAGGACTTGGTCTCCAGGATCTTCTACCAACCGACAATGCCCTTTTCAACATTTCAACAGCCTTCCCCATCAAACCATGATTCACGTATCCACTGGCCAATATATGCCACGAACTTGCGTAACACACTCTTCGTTCTGCTGCCTCCTCCAAAACAGACTCACCCTTCTCCATGAGCCCTCTTTTGCAGTAAGCTACCAGTAGCTTATTCAGTACGCGGAAATCGTATACACTGCAGTTAGACTCAAACTCTTCATGGATGCTTTCTGCTCCCTCGAGATCATTAAGCTTTGAAAGACAAGTAATCATGCAGGCGTAGAGAATAGCAAATGGTTCATGGGTTGGCTTATATGCATTCCAAACTCGATGCACCTCACCTTTATCACCAGCCTTAGTGTATAGAGTAAGCAGAAACTCCACAGCAGTGGCCCTCCGGTGCTTGGGCATCTTTTCCTCTGCTTTCTTCAGCATTGCCAAGGCCTTGTCGGTCAACCCGACATTTAAATACCCGCTTGCTGCTGTTGTATACACATCCCAAGAGACAGCACCAGAGTCGAGAGGATTCTCCTCTATCTGATGAATGATTTCTTCCATCCGGGGTATGTTCGATGCAGCAGAATAAGCAGAAATCAAGTTGTTTCTTGTGTACTTATCATAGGGAATCCCCTCTTTCTGCATCTGTTCGAGTAAAGGGTCGAGTTTATGAAAATCTCCGACTTGATAGTAAAGGCTGATGAGCAGGTTGAAAGGAAAAGAACAGCAGCCCATACTTTTTTCTTTCATTTCCTGCACAACTGCTTCCGCTTTCTCGACACATTTCTCTTGTACGTAGATAGAGAGAAGTGCACCGTACACATTTCTCCACTTCATTTTCTCTGATAGGTTGTTGAAGTAATTTTCTGCATCAGCTAGTCCATGAACTCTGTAGACTAATTCCAGCTTAGTTGCAGCATCTTTGGATGAGAATTGCACAATGCAACGAGCAGACATCCAGTTCGATATCTGAATATAACATCCCAAAAACAAAAGAGTCGGGCAAAATCCACAAGAAACCACACACATCAACTCTGTAGAGCACAAGTTATCTCCATAAAGTTGCAATTTACAGCACTAAGAAAGAAAAGGGTAGAATCAAGCATCCAAACAAAAATGGGGAACCCTCACTGATTCGATCTTTAGGTTTAAAGATTAAAACTTCAGCACCAAGATGCCCAAATGGTATATGTAATCAAATCAATTTGCTTTTGGGGACAAAATAGCCAAAGACCTTGATCCTAAACAGAGAAGAGGGGCTTCTAATCGAAAGGAAACGAAACGCACAGGGGATGAAGAAAATGAAAGATGGAGGAAGAGGGGTTGGACCTGCAAGGCATGGTGGAAGCGCTTGTAACTCTTCAAACGCGCAACCAGAAATCGGAGCCGTTCTCCAACAGGATTTCCTTCTCTTACCCATTGATCGAGCACCGGAATTATGGAGGTTTTCGGATCTCTAACGCTCTCAATTCTTTGATATAGTGAAGGGGGAGGATGTGGTGGTGGGGGCTCTGGTTCAGTGGAGAAGAATCCAATAGAGGGGCCTGACCTCCATACCCAACTGGCCAACGAGTCGGGTGGAGCCGAAGAGAGAGCGGGAGGAGAAGTTCTACTTCTACAGTAAGAGGCAACCCCAGTTATGGCTTTGGAAGTGGCACGGCCAGATTGCTGGAGCTGCTGGCAGCTCAGTCGGAGCGCATTCATGGAGCTCGCCCGTACAGGGGGGAAAGAACTGGAGTACTTGGGGAGTGACGAGGAACGGTTGGGTTAGGGATGTTACAGAATTTCTCTCCTCCCTTTCCTTCCTTCAAACGAGTCTAATTGAATTTTACTTTTGGGCCTGGAAAAGTTGGTGGTCTGACGATTAACTTTACCACACCTACTGGACCTTCATACGTCGTCACTTAATTAGGTGAACTGGCCCAAAGGTCGAAGCTTATATCCTCATGGGCTAGTCCATGAAAATATCGGTTCAGCTTCGTTTGAAGTTTCCGGTGGAGATGTTGCTTTGTCAAGGTAGTGTAAAAATGACTCACTTTGGTGGGAGTTGCCTCCAAAATTGACCTTGAAGACAGTAATGGATTAGTCTCCTCCCTGCCCTCTAACAATGTTATTATATACAGAGATAGGTGTGGCAATGAGCGGGTTGGGTGGATTTTGGTCTAAAATTGACTCACTCGCTTACTAGCGAGTTGAAATATATGTGACCCGCAATCCACCCACATACTTATGTGGGTTGGATTGGGTGGGTGGCGGATGGGTGCGGTTGGGTCGCGGATTAACCCACAAAAGCAATTTTCCAATTAGTCATTAAGAAAATTGACTAACATTTATAATAAGTTCATAGCAAATTAGTAAGATTGTATCAATAATTTGTGATTTTGATACAATTAATAATTTATAGTTTGTATCTCAATATTTAATGGATATTGCACAACACAATAACCAATAATAGTAGTCAATACTATTCTTATTCTCCACCTTTTGAACTATATGGTCAGACTGTAGTGCAGTTCAAAAATATGAATATTCGATACTATAAGAAACAACATTTTTTCATGTAAAAATAGTACGCGGGTCATACGGGTGACCCGCAATCCACCCACATAAGTGCGGATGGAAGATTTATCAATCCACAATCCATCCACATCAATCACCCACTGCGTGCGGGTCGAGTTATTTGCGGGTGGATCGATATCAATCTGCGGATTAACCACCCACATGCTCACCCCTATACAAAGATGAAATTTGAGTGCGATAAAGAAACCCACACTGTTTTCTCTATCTCGAGTCGCCATGCGAGTGTGTTCAACAACATCCCAGATCTGCTGACAACGAAGATAACAAACTTATACAACAATGAGGAATTTTACAATGTTATATAGCATTGGTACTATAGGTTTTTATTTTTATGGTACAACTTGAAATTGTACATTTAACGTTATGGTACAACTTCATATTGTACCTATACTTTTTGTAAAAATTCTCTTATGGTACAACTTGAACTTGTACTCTTATGTGATAGTACAATTTCAAGTTGTAAAGTTGTACCATAACATAATGGTACAAATTCTTTAATGGTACAACTTGAACTTATACGTTTAATGTTATGGTACAACTTCAAGTTGTACATTAAAGCACCAATGCTATATAGAATAGTAGAAGGGCTCAACAATTGTGTAAAAATTGTTTTGAAAAGAAGTGTTCATTTTGGAATATTTTTTCCAAAATACAGCACTCGCTATGAAATTGTTACAATATCATATTTACACCAAAATTTTCCAGAATATTAGAGAATGGCTCGGTTTGCAGTTTCCGACGATTTTGATAGTGGTTCGCTAGACACTAGAGCGATCTAATTGCAACCAACCAAATAGAACTAGCCCCTAACCAACCTGGATCGCTGGAGAACGGAGCGAACCTGCTAGGTCGCGGCAGACTCCAGCGGTCATCCTCAAAAATAGTTTGACACTCCAGTGTTCTACACCTAATATACGTCGAAACTTCAAACAACAGTACCTTTGTGCTCATATGTCCAATCGTAGAGATTTTTTTTACAACGCATAATTTTTCGAGATCGTCAAAGCTACAAACCGACGAGTCCGCCTTCGTCGCCAAAAAAAAAAAAGCAGTTCGTTGCCCCAAACCGGCCATTTGTGATTTCGCCTAACTTCTAACTATCATAACTTTTTCCTCCACAGTCCGATCATCATAGTTTTTTTATTGATTTTGCATAACTTTTCGAAAAACTACTTAACTTTTCCAAAATGACATTTTCACCGAGCCCAACAAAGCTATCCCTAACCTAGAAAGGTCAATGGTTCAGCTCTTACCTTATTAGCTAAGCTAGTGTTGCTTCCAATGGTGTATGTGTTATTTAGTAAGAAGATAGCATCAAGCTAATTATAGAGAATCCTGAACCACACACTGACACACCCCAAGCGCATTGTAATTACTAATTACCAACAATTTGAAGCCCTATCTCTTCGTCGCCTCATGAGGCGTTACGTTGTTGAATTCCAAAACATTCCTGCTCCCTGAAAGTCTTTGAGGAAGCAAGGTCCCTTCTCTTGATCACAAGTTATACCACCTAGTTCACCGGCAAACCCACCAACGCTGTCAAGTCAAAAGAAAACATCACTTCTCCCCATCGTATTCGTTTCCCATTTCTCCAGCCAATCCTTTGTTCTCTTCTCCTTTTGTACCAATCTCAAAGCTGGTGATTGGAAATTCTACCCAAAAGAAAGGGTGGTGAATGAATGAAAGGACGTGGGTGGGCAAAGAAATGAGCATTATGCTGACTTGACATCCCAACCTCTCCCATCTATTTTCTCTTTATCTTTTCTATCATTTTATGAATCTGTAAATACTAAAAACAAGTTGAAGTGACATTTTTTTTAAAGACAATTTTCAAAATTTCAGCAAAATCATCAATTCAAGGACAATTTTCAAAATTTCGGCAAAAACATGAGACATAAACCCTCTGTTTCCGAAGGAAGGGAGGAAAAGGAGGGGAGGTGGAGGAAAATTAGGAGGGGAGGGGAGATTTGGAGGTGAAGAAAATTGGGAGGAAAATGTTGTTTTATGGAGGAAAGTGGAAAGGAAAGTATGTATTGAGAAGTGTGATGAATAAGTTATTTTATTGATTATGTAATATTAAAATAATTTGATTGTATATTAATATTCTACTTATTGTACAAAATGAGAGTTTTAAACGCATAATAAAATACACAGTGAATTTGTAGTTTGTGATTTATGTCGTTTGGGTTTTTTTCATAATATTGTTTAAAAAAAAAAAGAATTACTCAAACTACTGTATATCTTAAAATAATTCCAAATTTACAGTCCTATATACAATTAGCTTCAAAAAGGGGTAAAAAAGAATTGATACGTATCATCCTTTCCTATCTAAATACACAACCCTAATTCCTCCCCTTTTCCTTATTTCCTTCCTTCCATCTTCTTTTTTTTTTTGACAGGTCCTTCCTTCCATCTTCGTTCCTGTTTCTCAAAAAAAAAAAAAACCCCCATTTCCTTGTTCCTCCGCCAAAAAATGACCCCATTTTTCGACCACTCTTTGCTCATCCTCACCCAGAAACGACCCCTCTTTCTCATATCACCCACATCCGACGACGAGGCGGAGAGATCCGGCGACGAGATTCTGTGACGATGGAGGAGAGATCGAGAGGCGGCAACTGACAAAACGATTTGTTCCGTTCTTATTTCTTTCTGCATGTACAGAGAAGATCCCTTTTCTCCCACCCTATCTTCTTCCTCTCCCTCTCTCTGCCTACAAAACGATTTGGGTAAACCCAATCCAAAAAATAGAGCATCGATTCTGGTAAGATCAAGGCATGCATGTATCTTTTATTTTATTTTTTGTATTTTTCTTGATTTTAATTGAATTTAGTTGTTTTGGGGTCTTGATTACAGATGAAAGGAGATAACCAGAAACGGCCGTCGACATCCTTGCCGACGATCGACGGTGGGACAACATAGTAGCTTCAACTGGAATATGTTTTTTCTAGGTTCGTTTTTATTCTGTTTTTCACTTTCAATTGGTTTCCAATTATTTTCTTCCTTTTGCAGGTGAGGAGTTTCTGTGTTTTGTGAAAAGAAGAACAAAGAAGGAATGGGGAAAAAAAGAACGAAGAAGAAAGATAAAAGAGAGATGATGCAAATAAAAAAAAAACTAAGCCCACTCAGCGCTTTCCCTCCGATTTGGAGGGTAGGGTAAAACAGTGTTTTTTCCCTCCCCTTTTCTTTCCTCGCGCACTGTTCCTCCCTTCGGAAACGGAGGAAAATGTTTGGGAATTCCAACTTTCCTTCCCCTTTTTCCCTTCCCCTCCTTTTCCACTCTTAAAAAACAGAGGGAAAGACACTACAAGAAACTTCACTTTCTGCGACGGACGATTTCGTCGCAGAAAGGCAAAAAATTCGTCGCAGAAACCTTCTGCGACGAATTCTTTCGTCGCAAAAAGGAAAAACAGTTCGTCGCCCATACAGCGTCGCAGAAAGTTCTGCGACGAAAAAAATAGCTTCGTTGCAAAAAAATCCATGTCGTCGCTGAAAGTGAACAATTTGCAACGGTAGATTCGTCGCAAGATCACCATTTTGCGACGACGTTTCCGCCGTTGCAGAAAATTCACATATTCTGCGACGACTACTTCGTTGCAGAAAGGTTTATTTGGCGACGGATCAATAGTCGCAGAAGGTTACAAAAGATTTCTTTTTTTTTACAGTAATTCAGTATTATTTTCAGGTTAATTTCAGTATAGGTCACAATTCATTTTCGGGTTAATTTCAGTATTGGTCACAATTTTTTTTGGGTTTGTTTTCTGGGTGTTCCTTATTTTATAAACATCAAAGATGCAGCTCGTCAAAGCCAAATTTCCAGATTTCCTCCAAATAACTACACTATCAATTCCTCATCGAAAATCCAAATTTGCAAGTCAGAATACCAAACCTGGAAAAACAGAAACAAAGTTAGATTGCTCGATACAACAACAAAGGAAGGAAATTTTTTAGAAAAACAAGATTGGAGAAAGAACAGATCTGATTTCGTTCTTTCGTTTTTCTCGTCAGAAGAGTAGATCAGGTTCTTCTTCAACCCGCGGCTGTAGCCGATTCGCGCGGCCAGAGGCCATCGGCGACCCATCGAACTTCCTTCATCGCGGCTGGAGCAGATCTGGAACCAGTCAAGCTTCCTTCACCGCCGTCTTCATCGCGGCTGGAGCAGATCTGGAACCAGTCAAGCTTCCTTCACCGCCGTCTTTTTATTCCCTAGTTCGAAAACAAATCCGAGAAAGAAAATGGTCACAATCTCACTCTT